GGCTCCAGCCCCATTGAGACCCTCCAGAGGATGAAGCAGTTTATAGAAAATGAATGAATGGATATTTATATAGCACCAAATCATAAAACATATTGTGATGGGGCACTTTGCATAGAAAAGTCAAGACCTGACAATATTATAGAGAGAGAACCGACAGTTCCCCCTTGAGCAAGCCCTTGGTGACAGTAGGGAGGAAAAACTCCCTTTTAACAGGAAGAAACCTCCGACAGAGCCAGACTCAGGGACAGCAGCCATCTGTCTCGACCAGGGGTGAGCGGAGAGGGAAATTATAAGCCTTGAGAAACAACAAACGATGAAAGCAGAGCAGGTTGGTGAAGCCAGTAACCGCAGGTCAGACACATGCCGCTCTGGAGCCATGGATACCTGCAGAGAGGTGCAGCGAGAGAGAGGACACAGAGGACAAAGCATAAACTATGAGAGAAGACATAAAGTTAATGACATGCAATGAATAAAAAAGAATGAAAGAGGGAAGAAGTCCCTCAGCAGCCTAGGCCTACAGCAGCATAACTTAAGGGATGGTTCAGGGTCACCTGAGGTAGGCCAAACTATAAGTTTTATCCAAAACAAAAGTTTAAAGCGCAATCTTAAAAGTAGAGGGTGAACTGCTGAACTCTGCTCTGTCCACAGCAGAGGGGCCTGACAGCTGAAGGCACTGCCTCCCAATCTACTTTTGGAAACTCTATAGGAACAACAAATAAGCCTGCACTTGTTTTATTGTGACAATAAGGTATTATGACATCTAATGATGGATCCATCATTTGATGGATCTTGGTCATTAGGGACTATATGTGTGAGAAGGGGAATTTAAAATTATTTTCTTGAATTTACAGGGAGCCAGCGAATAGAAATGAAATGAAAATGAAATGGAAAAATACTTTATTTATCCCAGAAGGGAAATTCAATAAAAAGATTTCAACTCAGCATAAAAAATCATCCAAGAAAAACTTAATCTGATAGGTAATGTCAATAAAAAGACAATAATTTATCCAAAAAACCCCTCAAAAGCAAAGAGAGCTACTAGAGATTGCTGCCACCTAGCGGTGCATTCCAGATTGTTGAAGCTAATATAGGAGAAATATGATCTCTCCCTCGTTCCTGTCAGGCTTATGAGTATGATTAAAAAAATGTCAGGGTTAGGAATGTATTTCTGTATGTCAGTGAGAATTAGAGCTGCAAGAATTATTTGAGCAGTTGTTTAGGTGTTAACTATTAAATATACCACTTATTTTTTTCGATAACTGATTAATTAGTCATTTTTAATTTTAAAACAGTTCAAATCCTGTCATTCTCGTTTCATTCTAGTCTAGTTTAGATTTGAGTATTTTGAGTATTTTCCGGTTTCTTTATTCTATGAGAGTATATTCCATAGCTTTGGATTGTGAACAAAACAAGACATTTGAGGATGTCATTTTGGGTTTTGGGAAACATTGACATTTTTCATTGTTTTCTGTTTTTTTTTTTTTTAGTGCAAACAATTATTCAGTTTATTGAAAAGAAATAATTAGCAAGTCAGTCAACAATGAAAATAACTGACAGCTGCTGCCATAGAGAGGATCCACACAGAAATATAAGTGTTTCTGTGTGTGTGTGTTCTTCACCTTTCTCTAAAAGCGTTCATCCAATCTACTTCATACTTTGAGGGGGTATTGTTGGGGACCTGAGGTTAAAAAATAAGCAACCTCATATTTTGTATAAAAGTTTTTTTATATATATATATATATGCCTTCACATTAGTATCCTCAGCAGACCTTTGGCTGTATGAACATGTGTGGGAGGATGTAAACTGTAATGTTTATGAGGGTGCTGCGTCATACATTTTTGCCATCCCTGTTTCCTATAGGTTGTCCAGGAGAGTGTGACTGTAGGTCTGGGGGTGTGGGGGTTATGGGACCTCGTGGTCCAGTTGGTTATCCAGGGCCTCCAGGTTTACCTGGAAATCCAGGACTTAAGGGGGACCCAGGTCTGAAAGGAGATTACGGACTAAGAGGACCACAAGTAAAATGAAATTAAATGTCATTTCCTAAAAACTAATAAAAAGTCTGTAAAGTTTTTAATAACTACGGAAATGTAGTTTTTCATTTGACCTAATGTTTTCTTCCAGGGATTTCAAGGAATTTCTGGTATAAAGGGACGAAAGGGTCAGAAAGGTGACTTTTTTGGAACGGGTGTTAAAGGTAAGCGAATTTAAAGCACTACTTGTTATATACCCGCTAAATGTTCCCAGTATTATTATATGATTACTGTTCAGTCTTATAGTTATCATAAACTTGTGGATATAAAGGGGATGGGGGAATTTTAAGTCAAGTTATTACTCAGTTTCTTGGGTTCAGCAACAGGTGCAATAAATCAAACGTAACTTTTATTTTCTTTGCTGATAACTTTGTGGTTTATGTCAAACTAGAACACAAAGATCTATATTTCATGTACGCATATATGACAGCTCACTAAACATTCATTGCCCATTATATACTGTTCCTTTTGTTGTTGGAAGGTGTCAAAGGGGATCAAGGAGACCCAGGATTTTCCGGTCCTACTGGAGGAATAGGTAGACCAGGGTCGGACGGCCTCCCTGGGCCTGTGGGAGACCCTGGACAACCAGTGAGTGTGTATTTTAAATTCTGTAAATCTAAGCTGTGGAACAGTCTGTACAATTCATCTTTTAGCTGTGTATGCTTAATTACATTACACTTGTAACAGCAAATGTTCCACTTTGGTACACTATCGATTCTGCACTTAAGGTATCGTGTAATGGTTTTACAGGGTGCTGGGTATACAGGATTGCCAGGTCACAAAGGTGACCCAGGTGTTCCGGGATCAAAAGGCTTGCCAGGGCCTTCAGGTCGCCCTGGTTCTGATTTTCCAGGACCTAAGGGGGCACCAGGACCTAAAGGAAATCAGGGATTTCCTGGCCTACCAGGGATTCCTGGAAGACCAGGCCCTCCAGGTTGGTTGGACACTCATTTCTACATTAAGCAAGATATCGTGGTCTCAGAGCCATCAAAGCTTAAGGCTTGTTGTATATATGTTATCAGGTGAAACAGAGCCATGCTGTGACGGAGACGAGATTGGCCCTCCTGGTCTTAAGGGAGAGCGAGGTTCACCAGGTAAGTCTTATAAGTATTACATGTGGTTTGTTTAAGAAGTCATTACTGATTCCAGACATGAAAACATTACACCTTTTAGTCAAATGTGACTGCTAAACTATGAGTTGATCTGTCAGAGCGCCACGTCTTTTCCGCAGATTTTCCTTAAGTTTGCATCTCACTGTTAGTCTTCCGTTGTTTTCCGAGTTAGACACAATGGCCTGTACACTTGCTACTACAAGCGATTTGTAAGTTGTTTATTTAAATTTGATTGCAGATTTGGCCATGTGTCTGACTAAAACACGATGTACGTCCTCTGACATGTTGGTCCATAATACAAATGACCTTTAAGTTTTATTTGGCTCCGTGCAGGGATTCCAGGTGTACCAGGAAGAGATGGATCACCAGGAATTCCGGGACATGATGGCTCTAAAGGCATGAAAGGAGATGACGGTCTTACAGGAGGGATTGGACCGCCAGGTAATGGCTCTTTAAAATGCTTCAAATTAATATAATTGTTCAAGCATCCACATGGCAGTAAAACTGGCAATAAATAAACCTTTAATTATACCAAAGGATTATTTGTATTCATATGGGTCTCTTCTATTTGTAACAGGACGCCCAGGTTTACTAGGGGATCCAGGTGATCCGGGTTCCACCGGGATTAGTCTGAGTGGCCCTCAAGGCCCTCCTGGGGCACCTGGACACCCAGGCAGAAAAGGTGAACCAGGAGATATCCTTTCGGCCAGGCCAGGTGCTATTGGCCCACCTGGCCTCACTGGGGCTACAGGGAAAGGTGGACTCCCTGGAAATCCTGGAAATTCAGGATCTCCAGGTAAATGTTTTTATATTGTGTGAACACAAAAAACCTCCAGGCGTTTATGTTTTAGCTAATGTGGCCACTACAACAAAAAATTATCCTCAACTTACACTGCACTCCCAATTCTGTTTCTGTATTTGGATTGGTTGATCATTGGTACTTTGGAATTACAGGCCCCCAAGGCCCAAATGGAAGACCAGGCCGTAAAGGAGAGCCAGGTACCCAGGGTGACCCTGGAGCCACTGGTCCCCGAGGTCCACCTTGTACTGACTATGAAATCATTGGTCCACCAGGACCTCCAGGAGCTCCTGGAAACCCTGGGCCAACTGGAACACCTGGTGAGCACACTGCAGTAACGGGCAAAATTCTGGCTGTGACTAACTCTAGATGCAGGTCTAACCAACAATATTTGTCTCACTGAACTTCACAATGTGCAAAGGCTACTTCGGTCAGAAGGGTAAGAAGGGGGATATAGGTCCACCTGGTCATGGACGGAGGGGTCCACAAGGGTTTCCTGGTCCTCCCGGTTTTCCAGGTCCTGCTGGACCAAAAGGCACCTCTGGCTTGCCAGGAGATCCTGGTCCAGATGGCTGGCATGGACAGAAAGGTCAGTCAATGGCCTGACTTGATAACAATCTTTTTTACTTGATCATTTGAAATCATGTATGCTTGTATAAAATCTAACAGGTTCTTCTGATTTCGTTTACACAGTCCAGGGAGTATTTTTGTTTTTAAAAACTGCATGGCCTGTGACATTCACACACAGGCGCTGGCTGCCAGTCAGCATGCTTTCATTAAATCTGCCAGCTGCACCTGCAGCTCTGTACATGCTGCCACACTTAATATTTAAACTAGCTTCTCCTGAATAAAACAAGACTGTCCCTTTAATTTATGTAGGTGAAAGGGGGGATCCTGGCAGGCCTGGAACAAGAGGCTTACCTGGACTGCCTGGACCTCGAGGACCGGGTGGTATACAAGGAGAGAGGGGTTTGAATGGGCGCCCAGGTAACCCAGGACATCCAGGACCACCTGGTTATAAAGGTAAGTCTCTGTATATGTGCCATGTCTATAATAACTGTACTCATCGTTGCTAGCTGCCATCGACTATTGTTAATAATTACACATATTTGATCAAGAAGCAAACAATACTACACAATATCTGAAAATGTCTCAAGCCAGGCACTCAGAATTCAGATTCAAGACAGAAGTGTGGCTAACAAAGCAAAACATACATTGTTGGACAATAGGGAAAAGACGAGGGTTTTTGAAGGGTTTCGTTGCAATATGCAAAATATTCTGTTTATTGAATATTAAACTGTGGCTTGATTGCACCACCCAGACCATAAAACCTGATGTAGCATAAATGAGATCCGCTTGGTCTTGCCCAGGTTGACCATATGTAGCACTAAAACATCCATCATGTATAAAGAAAGAGGAATGAAACATTTTTGTTTAGGTTATTGTGTTGGATTTCTGTGTAAATACAAAATAGCAAACATTTTACCTCAGGTCTGTGGTCTATCCAGGTTCAAAGGGAGAACCGGGATCACCAGGAGCATCAAATATTGTGAACGTAACTAAAGGCTACCCAGGACCTGAAGGAATAAGGGGGTCACCAGGCCAACCAGGATTTCCAGGCAATGGAGCTTTGATTTAACTTTTATATATTTTTGAAAGTATTTCTTTTGTTGTTGTTTTTTAAACAAGAAAAAACACATTATTGATTGTCATAAACAGTAGAAGATTAAAAAAAACAAATGTAATCTTTCATTTTTATTTGTTAACTCAGGCTTAAAGGGAAGAGGGGGAGATCCAGGTGATTTAGGGCCCGATGGATGGCCTGGTCCGGCAGGGTATAAGGGCTTCACCGGTGATCCTGGATCGTCAGGAAGGCCAGGACCTCCTGGGTATCCTGGAGCTAAAGGTTTCCCTGGTCCAAGGGGACTCCCTGGCAACGATGGCGATCCGGTACACAGCGAGCTTAACTCATTGCATTCTTGTCTCTGTGACAGCTGTCTTCACCCAGTTTATTATCTGTTCAGTTTATACCCAGAAGCCCTAAAACAGCTGCCACTTGAGCCACATTCAATAAATCTACACTCATGTACTCACATTTAATGAAATTTCACACTCGATGTGCGACAGGCAGCATATCATTTCTGCTTGTTCCAGCTGTCTGCCATGCACATGCCACTATTAAACCAACGGTTCCAGCATGGATTAAGTTTCTGACTTGTTCTGAATAGCTTTTCTTTTTTCTCTACACTTTGCTTGCATGCTGTTTTAAATGCACATGATTTATTATTTGTTAGACTCACAGGGAAAATGTAATTGCATTACAGGGAGATCTAGGACCCCTGGGAAGTATCGGTATCCCTGGACAACCAGGATTTCCTGGTGCCAAGGGTAAGTTTTAAATGTGTTTTATTTCCGACTTCTGAAGAAAAAAAAAAATTCTCACTTGACCTCTTCAGAATTAGCTTTTTTTTTCTGTGAACAATAACGTTTGTATATTTACTGAAGCCATGCAAATTTTAACATCTACTATGAATATTATCCAAGTTCCAGGCCCTTGAAGTGCCCAGGGGTGGATCCAAATTCTGTGCTTTTTTAAATTAGCATTACTTTTTTTAACATTTTTGATCCAGCATAACTTTATATCTATTTAAACTATAGTAAATATATGTATACTAAATATATAGTAATAGGAGGGTCATCTTCTCGCCGTGATTCATTCGTTATACCATGATTTTGATGCTCAAAGTTGTTGCAGAACAATCGTGCTGAACAAAAATATGATTTTGGCTTTAGACTTTGACACCTGGACTGGATATAAATTGGATTTGGTTGCCGTTTTAAACAGAGCTCAAATGTATTTTTTTTTTTATCCCTGAAAATTCTTTACTGTTATCGTTTGGATTTATGAAGTTATAAGGGGTCCAAAAAACAAAAAGATGCAAATGAATACTTTGCGGACCTGTAACTCAGAAAATATTCATAGAATGAAGATGAAACTGTTGCACGGCTTCACTACATGTACCAGAGTTATATTATCTTTTTAATGGAATGGCCCTACTGGTATAGAGAGCTGATTTTGTTTTGTCACAAGTAACTTGAGTTTGTGCAAGAGGATTTACATCTACAGCAGCTTGGCCCACAGTCAGTTCTGACAACTCCATGAAAACATTATGATACATAGTTCTAATAAATGCAGTTAAACCGATAATCCCTCTGGATTTCATATGCCATTCAAGTGGACTGAATCCGATGAAACCTGTCTGAATCCGTACCAGGTGATCCAGGGCAGACTTTTGGACAGCCTGGTGCACCTGGACCCAAAGGATTGCGAGGGGAGGACGGGCCCAGTGGTGAGACCGACTGAATCCCTTCAAATTAGAAAGATGGATTATTTTTTGATAAACTTTTCTAACAGGAAATTTGTCAGTTTAATTGATTATATACAGTCAGAAATGATTTTACACAATATTTTTTTCCTAGCACCTAGAGGGAGCCCTGGAGACCCAGGTGACCCAGGACACAGAGGAAGGCCGGGGCACCCTGGACAACCAGGCCTTCCTGGAGAACCGGGAGGAGGAGGACCACCGGGTGATTTTCAATAAATATTTAGATTTGAGAATTTAAATAATGCACCCGTAAGGTGGAAAAATACACAACAACAACAACAACAACAACAACAACAACAACAACAATAGTAATAACAATACTAACTTGACTCTCTGCTGAGCTCTCACACATCACTCTCATTGTAACTTGTCCTCACATAAAACACTGTAAATCTCACACTGACAATACATAAAGTACACTGTTAAAACTCATTTAAGGGTACACTTATTTTTCAGGCCATTTTCTTCTCAATAAAGTACACAGTGTTTATCAATGATTGGACAGTGGAAAACAAGATGATGAACCCACTGAGGGGGATTCACAATCACTTACACGTCCAAACTAGACAGATCGATATCCCAGAAGCTTAGTTGAATTGATGTTATACTGTGATGATTAAGTGTTCCCCTAATTTTGTTGCGCAGTATACATAGAGTGTCATGCAGAAAACGAGTTCAGGTTTCCACAGTCCTCATCAGTTTCATTTGCCTCTTTAGCCATCAAACAATGAAATCACTCCTTACATTTGACACTTCTGTTTATTCTTGCAAGCAGTTAAACTTTTGTGTGCATGTTGGTTTGAGCTCTTTTACATGTTTCTATGTGCAGGCTTCCTTGGGCCGCGTGGCCCATCAGGTATTCCAGGTTTTCCAGGGCCTCCAGGTGATGTAGGAGGTGTGGGACCACCAGGCCCGCCAGGCCCATATGGGCCTCCAGGTACAAACATGATGTCCACTGTCTGTTCCATCACTGGGAATGCAGTACCATATATGCATCACACACTGCAAGAGTTTTGTATCACAAGGGATTTTAAAATGTGGCTGCCAAGGAAATCAGAAATGTAACTGATTAGATGTGAACAGTCATTAATATTTAGGGCTTTTCTCAAAAATGTTTCTAAAGATGTATTAGGAACAGATAAACAGATAAACAAGAGGTGATGTACAAAAGAGAAAATGAGGATGATATGATGACAGCAAGATGATTCTTCTATTGTATTGTAATGTTATGTTAGGGCCCCCTGGACCACCAGGTCTGGATGGACTGAATGGGCTGCAAGGTCCAGCGGGGATAAAGGGAGCAAATGGTAAGAAGAATAAAAGTTTGTGCGTTTGGTATCAATTCTTTTAGTTCAAGATAAATTAAATGTGTCTGTTTAGGGAATTGCCTAAAATAGACTGAAGTGCAGTGTCAGCAGTACCTGTATAGTATTTATTGTTACATTAAATCATACTGAAGTGGTAATAGGTGTTAGTGTCATTACATTTACACATGAGTAAACCTGAGCACACGCTATCATGTAATACTGTGTTTTTTATGTACTCACTTCCTATCAAGGCATAGACATCCCTGGCCCTCCAGGACCAGATGGTTTTCCAGGACCCAAAGGTGTCAGGGGCTCCAGAGGACCTCCAGGAAGCGCTTATGCTTCGTTTAAAGGCGAAAGGGGTCCGCCTGGTGATACAGGTATCTGTTCCTACCAGCAGTACACTTACTGCTCCTGTCTAAAACCGATACAAATATATTTAAAAGGTTTCTTAAAACACAGCATTTCATGCATTTTAAGTTACATTTTACATTTTAAATGATTGTTTCACCATATCTGCAGTGTAAGCACAAATAAAACAAGAGCAGCTATTTCTTTGCTCATGAGGTCACTCGGATCGTGTCATGTTTTTGCTCTCATTTGCTGCACTTTGTTTGCTTTCATGTACTTTGTTGAGTGTGGTTTTGTATTTCCTCCCACAGGTTTTCCAGGCTCACCGGGTGATCCTGGTTACTCTGGCAAAGAATGCCAAACGCCTTCGCCAGGATCTTACGGGGATGCAGGATACGAAGGACCTCCAGGTCCCCCAGGTGTGTGTGTGTGTGTGTGTGTGTGTGTGTGCCGATGTCTCTCTGTTTCTCTATTTGTCTCCACCTTTATGTAAAAGGAGCATTGTGTGGATTTGTGTGCCTATGTAATTGTGGGTATGTGTGCCACTCTTTGTATTTGACCACATCTGAGGCTTTGAATTGTTTCTTAGGTGCTCATGGAGAGCCTGGGGCACCAGGCAGCACAAGCAGTTTGTCCAAAGGAGACCCAGGGCCAATTGGCCTTCCTGGGTTACCCGGACGTAAGGGAAATAAAGGCAACCCCGGACCCCAAGGACTTTCAAACTACCGAGGCACTACAGGACCTAAAGGTGCACTGCAGTTCAAGGCTGATGATTGCAGCATTTTGCAGTGCTGCAGTCCACTTAAATACACTTCAAATGTTACTGTGCTTTGACAGGTGAGCCAGGTCCCGGTGGTCCGAGGGGTCTTCCGGGACCCAAAGGACCACAAGGTCTTCCTGGGCCCCAAGGCCGTAAGGGAGATCCTGGCCCTCATGGAAATATAGGTGAGTGACACGGCAACTAAGAAGTGAAAAAATGTGCACATGCTATCCTGCTCACAACAGGAAGTCAAACCGTGTCTGCAGATGCTTTACAGTGTTCAGTTTCATTCTGAGAGTATAGAATGTATTCAATAATCCTGAATGCATATGTTCCTACAGTGCTTCTGATAACTAATGTGTTTTTTTCAGGTGCCAAAGGTGCCCGCGGTGATTCTATTTATGGACGTCCAGGATCGGCGCCCCTTGGACTCCCAGGACCTCGTGGTCACCCAGGACCTGCGGGCTTCGTAGGTGACCTGGGTCCTCCTGGAATTCCTGGACGCAACGGTACAGAGTCTCATGTACAGCATTGTTTGTGCAGATATATGTTTCTGGTCTGTGTCTGTACAAATCTGCGTTGTGTGTTTTTTTTGTTTTCTATCGGCCACAGATGCTCACATGTCTGTATGCATATATACATATGTAGGTACTTTTTAAAAAAAATCTTTGTGTTTTAGGAGACAGAGGCCCTAAAGGTGCTGTGGGCCTCCCTGGCAGACCAGGTGGTCCTGGTCGTGACGGTCCAATTGGAGACCCAGGAGATGGTGGTGCACAAGGATTTACTGGACCTCAAGGTGAATAATCAGACCAAATTATTTAACAATCCCTTTCTTTGCACTGTTGAAGTGGCAAGACTACTATCCACAAGAAATTCCACAGGACTGATGACAGAGTCTCCAGAGTCTTCTTGGATCAGGGCTACAGATGAAAACAATATATATTTTATATCGCCTTGTCTCTTCCTCACCTTAATCATCCTTCTGTCATCCACTTTCTTTCTGCTCAACCCTTCCATCCTCCAGGTATCCCAGGTAGTCCTGGTGATCCTGGATTGCCTGGCCATGGGGGTGTATTTAGAGCTGGCTTCCTTTTGGTCATCCACAGTCAGTCTATTCATGTGCCACAGTGCCCTGTAGGCAGCAGTCAGCTTTGGGTGGGCTACAGCCTCATCTACCTGGAGGGACAAGAGAAGGCCCACACACAAGACCTGGGTACGTGTCTGCATAAAGTGATCATTTTGTTGCTGTCCTGAAATTCATCATAGGCTTTAGAGTTTGAGAAAGTCTGTCTTCTTTGTCTCTGTTTTACTTTCCGTCCCTGTAGGCCAGCCTGGCTCCTGCCTCCCTGTTTTCTCCACCATGCCTTTCTCTTACTGCAACAAAGCCGCCTGTCACTACTCTAGTCGCAATGACAAATCCTACTGGCTGTCCACCACCGCTCCCATACCCATGATGCCGCTCTTTGGCCCGGAAATAAGATCCCACATCAGCCGCTGTGTGGTGTGTGAGACGGCTTCACCTGCCGCGGCTTTTCACAGCCAGGATCAAACCATCCCTCCATGCCCACCTGGCTGGCGGAGTTTGTGGACGGGCTTCTCTTTCCTCCTGGTGAGTGTGATAAAACGTTTGCTTGTGTTTATGAGAAAAATGCTGTCAACTCCCCTCATTGCATACCTGCTGTACCTTCCTGTCTCCAGCACACAGGGGCAGGTGACGAAGGTGGCGGCCAGTCACTGACGTCCTCCGGTAGCTGCCTCAAGGATTTCCGAACTTACCCCTTCATCGAGTGCCAAGGCGCACGAGGCTCCTGTCACTACTTTACCAACCTTTACAGCTTTTGGCTGACGACTGTGAGTTGGACAGAGGAGTTCACCGACCCAAAGCCGGACACCATTAAAGCGGCCGACCGACAGCGACGCAAAGCCAGCCAGTGTAACGTCTGCCTCAGACAACTGTAATGCACCTCCTATCACGTTTAGTTGCAACTTTTAAATATTTTGTAACCTGTTTTTAAGCCAGTTCACTTTTTAAAATCTAAGTTAGATTACCACTCAGGGTTACAGAGGGATTCTAGTAAATGATGTTTGATAATAAAGGTAAAGATTTGTACATATACAGTACCTGAACATCTGAGCAACTGTTCTTAATGTCGTTATTTTCAATAAGGTGCTTGTTTTTAAAGATAAATTAGCCACTTGTGCGCTATGATAATTGTTTGATCGTCTTGTGCTGTAACTTAAGATTTTATTTTCATAAAATTGTTGGACCAGTGTTGAAATCCTCACAAAATCATCATGTAGGAGACGTATTAAGAAGTCCTTTTTGTCACTGTTTTTAAAGTGTTTCTCCTCAATTAAAGTGTTTAAAAAAAGATTTGAGACAAATAGTAATTCAGATTTAAATGACGAGGGCAGTTGAAAACACAACAATGCGCAGGAGAAAATGAACCACGTCAACAAGTTTATCCATAGCAGGTTTCAAGTTCATATTTATTTATTTCTCTCAACAGAACCCAAGTGACAATCAGAATACAGTACTGTTTTCCTCAAACATGTTTTTTCCTTTTCTTTTTTATTACGCAAAACAAGAGAACACTCAGTGCAATAAGACAGAGGACTGACAGTGCGGTGCTCTCTCTACCTTTTCACAGTGCACGTTTATACACACAAAAAGATTGTACATCATCATTATTACATTTCAAACCTTCACCCACCAACGTCATGATAGGGCAAAGTGAATGTCTTAAAACAATCATTTTTAACTTGCAACTTGCATACAGTGTAGCTTGGCACACACCCACAAACACGCACAGCTCTCTCCCTCACACACACACACACACATGCATGCTCGCGCACACACACACACACACACACGCAGGTACAACACAGAGGGCTCTCTGTATCATTGATTCTCACCAGAGAGGGGGTACTGCACTTGCACTCTCAGGGCTAGCTCAATTTTCAAACCCATACTATTTTGGCAATGTTGACATTGCATTTAAATGTGCAAAAGAGAACCAATTTCGATGATGTAAGTCGGAGGTTGAGGTAGAGGGAGAGAGCAGGGGCAGAGGGACATGTATGTAACCAGCCTGATTCAATGTGATGGAAGATGATGGGTAGTGCAGTTTGTTTTTTACAAAGCCTCAACGATTCGTAGGCCGTTGTGCAACCCCTGTCCTTTTTGACTGGGTAGAGCTGTTGCCATGTGATAGGTCCTTAAACAATTTGATCTTCTTAAAAGGTCGCCAGCCAATTGAATTGGGAACAATGTCAGAGACAACCGATTACAGATGACTGCATGTCGCACACAGCCGGTCTCCTGAGGCTTTAACCTCCCAGCCAATAAATGAAAACTTCCATGGCACAACTCACTACTCCTAACATTTTCAAAAAAATATATAAGCATAATCTTGAAAGTTATTTCTTAAGCAAGTGCATATGGCTATTATAATCTGCAGTAAAATTAAGAATCTTCTAAAAGCTCAGGTGTTGATTGTACGGGCTGGTCGTTGGCATCAAGTATCTACACTGTCACGGTGCTCGCAGTGTGCATGGCAATGTAAGGGTGCTGGTACTCGCCAGCTATTGCCACTAACCCCATTTTAAATAACCAACTACCCAAAGTGCAACCACACCCATATCTCGCTTTTACAGGCTTTGGCTGGTCTTGGAAATTATACTGTTAATAATGTACGTTCTAATTTACTACCTCCCCAACCCACCCTCATAGTGTATCTTTGAATACAGCAGAAACATTTCTCACTTTCTCCGTCCTCTACAACATGCCAGCCAACAGGTTTCCCCATAAAAACGATTCGACCGCTTCGAAAGGCTTTGACGTAGTGACTACACAGTTTCTTACTGTAATATACAAACTGAAGCACACAAAGTTTCCTGTTTCTGTTCTAGGACCGACTGTTGTACATTCTAGAACATACTGGACCAGGCATGGAGAACCCTGGAATCTAAAGCACGTTGACGTTAACTCCTCAACTTACAATACAACAGTGAAAATGTAAAGTATATATAGACAGAATTGAATAGTCCATTCATTTTAGTGCTTTGGAGCACAGAGAGAGAGAAAAAAAAAAAGAGTTGGGCATAAGAAAATTATGCTACTACAGTACAAGTATTGATAGATTATGCTTTCAAATGTAAAATAACCTAAACAAAAATAACATAAAAACAAATATTAGATTGCATCTACATCTACTATACATAATTTAAGCTGCTTTTTGATCCCCATCATCTCATTTAGAAAATATCTATTCATCATCAAATATCTACTCTACTAATTATATTACAAGAGTCCAGTCACAGGAAATAGAAAAATATCAAATATCACCAGTGATGATAAGAAAACATGACAACCTGAACAAGCAGAAATATTGCTGTGGTAACCACCATTGTCCTTTGACATCAGCGAGTATCATCCCTCCGGTCCTCTGAGCGGCTGCCCTGAAGCCCCTGATGTTGCAGGGAAAGAATCAGTACAACCCGGCAGGGAGAGGGAGTGGGTAATTGTGGGTTGTGTGGCAGGGAGGTCTAGAGTTTCTTGTTAATTTCAGATGGCTGTGTCCCAGAATACAGTCGTCTGTGTGGGGTAAGGGGGAGGACGGATCTTCTTGGTCCCGCTGCTTTTCCCCCAGCCTGGGAGGACAGATGCGCTTTCCTGCTTGCACTGACTTCGCTCCTGGTGCCTGTCCTCGTTCCTGTCCAGAGGAGGAGGAAGAGGAGGAGGAGGCTTCTCCAGAGATCTCTGCAGGTGTGGATGCTGTCTGGAGCGGATCTCCATGCAGAGGGTGCGCTTCCTCTCGATCTGCTCCAGCATGGTGGTGTCTCCGCATATCCACGGCATCTGGGGCATCTGAGGGACGGAGTCAAAGTATCAAGTGAAATGAATTCGGATTACCTTCAGAATTATTTATAACTCTTAAATCCCCTAAAAACCTGGTTTCCGGGCTTAAGTGTTCCACCATAATGTTATAATCACGACAGAATAAACAACAACACAAGTACAACAACAACAACAACAAAAAGGTTATTATTTACTGAGAGTTTAACACTCAAAAAGGATTTGGCTCTGTGTGCGGATGTGGTTTAATCAGATTTGACTGACTGTAACCAAACAGCTCATCGGCTGCCATTAGCTTTGACGGGTAAAATAGCAAACCCATTAGTCTAGTATCAGTTCTAAGCAAAAACATGGAGAGAAGTCTTACTGAGCAAATTAAATATTATTTCAGCAAAGAATCATGCCGACTAAATCTCTGCATGCCTGTGAACTGGTTCACTCCAGCAGCACAACTTTTGTTTATAATAATAGACAACATTCAAAAATCTTAATTGCTAAATGCAAGTGTTTTGGGCTCTGGCAATGAGTTCACTACAATAGTTATCTCTGACAGATATGAAATCTGCCAACGAGACAATTGCCTTGGTCCACTTCTCTGTCTTTTATTAGTTTAACAAATCCTCAGTTGTAATCTATGCAGACGATTCTCCTATGTATGCAACAAATGTAAAGAATTAAACATGAGAAGGCAAACTGATTTCCAACCGTGTCAGTGACAGTAATTAGATTTTAGTAAACTATATATAAGAAATTAGAAAAACTCAATCAGATCAAGTGACTGGAAATAACACTGGACCACTATCTTTCTTGGTTTCACCATATTGACAATATCAAAAAAGAAAATGGCAGAAGACATAGCTGTTGCCAAGATGTATTTCGTTCGAGTCTTTTATTCAATAAAAGTGGATTATTCATTATCTCATTTGGAGCATCGTTAAGTTATTTCATCTGCTGCTAAAAGGAAAGACCTCAACAAACTCCAGCTAGTCCAGGTTGCCAACCAGGCCAACAAGGTGTACCAGGTGAGTTTTCAGATGTTTCTACTTCACTACTGAAATGCACAAAGCATTGTTGTGGTTTCCGGTAAAAGTTAAACTTCAATATGGTTTACTTGCATTTACTAAGAATTACCAGGTAAACCCAATTCATTCCCTCAACATCTGTGACATACAGATAAAATACAAAATGATCCCACACCTTTCTCAAGCAACTGCAATTTCAGTTATTTTCATCATCAGAATGAAACAAACTTCATGTTAAAGAATTAGCTTTGCATCCCCACATTTTAAGAAACACGTAAAAATATGTTTAAACTCTACTTTATGACCGGACATGCTCAGAGCAGCTTGGTCTACTGCTGTTTCTGGGTTTGTTGTGAATGTTTATGCTGCCAGTGCTCTTAGTTTCTGTTTAAGGCGAGGCTCGATTGATATATTTTAACCTCAGGAAGATGCAGACAGTGGCAGAAGTTTGATCGTTTTTTGTTTTTTAAATCTAGGTGACCACTTTTTCTAAATAACTCTCATCCAATTCAAATCGGTGAGAAAAGCAAAGAAAAAGGCTCATAAAAATACTAAAAACTGTACCAACTTAGATTCACTTAACTTGTACTGCATAAACCTGTTTCACTGATTGAGAAGTGAGTTTTGAGGGACCGTAAGAAGCTAAAATTATAAGAAAAGAAAAAGAAAAAATAACCAAATCTGCATACCTGGCTTTGATGTGTCTCTGCTGCTCTCCTTTGTGGAGTTCCCATTGGGGAAGGATTAGCAGTCATGGAAGGTGAGCGGCCATACTTGGATGCTGTTTTCACATCTACAAATGAATAACAATCATGTTTAATCACATGTCAAATAACTGGTTACATACAGCTGGATGAGTTTTACTGCAACATATGCTGTGTCTGTTATGTCAGATTTCTAATTCTCTTTGAAAAGGAAGTCTTAATCCTCACCGTTTCCTGTTCCCACGGTCATCGGTGGGCTGCCTGACGACCTCCCGTGGTGAGTAGGTGTTGTTGTTGATGAGTGCTGCCCTGACATTGTGCTGCCATTCCTCTCTTGTGCTTTTGACTGGTCCACGTTGTAATTTGCTCTGTTGTCTCGTCGGGGCGTGCCATCCGATCTGTACCCTCGTTCCTTATTGTCACACCTGTACTCCATTGCAGAAGGGCTCTTGGTGCTCTTGACGTCGTAATGATGCTGCTCCGAGCCGTTCAGACTTCTGTCTTTGCTGTCCCGCCTCACTTCAAGGCCAGTTCTGCTCAAGTCCTTACTGTCCTGTCTGGGTAAAGGAGGAGGAGGCGGATCTCCTCCATTGTGGCAGCTCCGATCTCTCCCCTCATACTTGGATTCAGAACTGGACCCAACCCTGTCCCTGCTGCTTCTGGATGTTTCTTGCCGGGGGAGGATCTCAGGTGGCTGGTCTATTCTACCTTCATGTCTATGCTCCATGTCGTTCCTTTCTCTCTCTTTGCTCTCCTGACGGGGTAACAAATCAGGACGATGGTCTTTGCTATCGTGCTTATATTCTGGTCCAGTTCTAGCCCTGTCTTTGCTCTCTTGTCGGGGAACAAGCTCAGGCGGCCTGTCTCTGCTTTCGTGCTTTGAGTCCACGCCGTTCCTGGCTCGCTCTTTGCTATCCTGCCGGGGTAAGAGCTCAGGCGGCTGATCCAACAGTCTCTCTCTGCTTTCATGTCTATAGTCTACACCGTTCCTTGCCCTTTCCTTGCTATCTTGTCTCGGTAACAGCTCAGGCGGCTGATCTATCAGTCTGTCTTTGCTGTCCTGTCTCAGCAAAGACTCCATTCCATGTCCCCCGCTGCGATCTTTGCTGTCCCTCCTTGGCAGAAGGTCACCGTTGCTAATCCCTCTGTCCTTGGAGTCTCTTCTTATCAGAGGGACGGGCTCTAGGGAGCTGCAGCCCCTGTCTTTGGAGTCCCGTCTCACAGGGATGGGTTCCACACTGCTGCAGCCCTGGTCCCTGCTGTCCCTGCGAACAGGTGGTGTATCTACACTGCTACAAGTGCGGTCTTTACTGTTGCGTCTGTGCGATGGAGGTTCCACATTGTTGCTCCCCCTATCTTTGTCTTTGTCTTTGTCTCTGTCTTTGTCTCTGTCTCTTCGATGAGAGGACTCTTTGCTGTGGCGCTCCTTGGACTCCCGCTTGGACTCCTTGCTGTGACTGTGCCGCTCCTTGCCCTCTCGCTTGGACTCGCTGTGCGACTTGCTTTTGGACTCAGCTGCAAAAGAAAAGGGGAAAAATAATCAGGCCGCATATAAAATCTGCTCCTAACAAAAAACATATTCAGTTTTGGTGGTAATTATCAAAATGAACTGGATCAACTGCTAGCTAAAAACTGGTGGAGCAAATAATCAGTGTTATATTATAGTGTATTAACTCATAGTGCTGCTTTGCGCTGCAATGCCACGGCATGTCCTCTAGGTGTCACTCACAGCACACTAACGTAGCAGCGATAAAACCGAGGGCTGGATGAATCAATACATATGTGTTGCCAGGGCGCTCTTTTAATCGTGGTAGAGAATAACACAAATGATCGATAGCTGTTTTAAAATTCAGTTAAATTGAACTTCCTGCTTCATTATTTAAACAGCTCTTTTACCTTAAAATCTACACTTGGGCAACTGTACAAGAATAATGCACGGCAGCAATATAAAGAAATCATGGTTACCAGTACAACACACATCTTTTAACACTTAAGAGTGTATTTGTGTTAAACTTTTTCTAGTTTCTTAATGCACATCTACATTGTGTGTTCTAACAGTGCTTTAACACACATACATAAAATAGTCCCGCTCGTGTGCGTTAGAAATGCTAATAGCAACCCTTATGTATGTCACTGATTCATAGCTCAACAAAGACATTATAGAACAACACTGCTTGAATAAAAAATACATACATGATTGATTTCCACATAGGCCTCGCCTCTATATGGTGCTCTATATGAGCTTTAACCTACAGCACCGTGCACAAGCTTCCCCTGTCATGCCCACATGTGTCATACATTCCATTTCAGAGTGTGCGTATGCATTCATGTGTGCATGTGTATGGGAGTGAGTGTGGTGATTAACCGGCTGGTAAGTGGGTCAGGCTAGCTGTTGCTGCCTCTATTGCCTCAGAAAGGGAAAGAAAAACACGTAACCTCCATTCCTCCATAACCTCCACGCTCATTACACCACGTATGCTTATAGGCGGTCACAGAGCAACACACACAACCTGTTAGTGCTTGTTAGCCCCACATGTACACAGGTGTTAAAGCTGGAGAGTAAATAATTTAAAAAGACCTGCTAGTTCAGCCCACTCCTGATGCACAGGTAACATATGCAAACTGTTTGCAAAACATGTGGGGCTACAGAACAAAAAAGGGGGCTGTCACAGGGAATTCCTGGCACCTAAATGTAACACAAGACTCTCTAACAATCACCTCATCGTGGTCGGTAATTTAAAATATATATTAGGACAATGCATAGAAACCCCAGGATTAAACAGGACGTGCATCATGTCTGCACATGTGTACACCAGCTTAAAGATTTATATCTCACTACAGTCAAAATGGCAAGAAATCATACATTCTCTCAGCTTCCACTATCCCCATCTGCACAGCTGCTCCTGCTGCCTGATTGGCTTAATCATGAGTAAAGTACGTGCTGATTGGACAGAAAAGAGATCCTCTGATCAGGTGTAGATTTGAGTTCAGAGGCACAGCTATTCCTATCAGGAGCTCATTGCTTCATTGTAGACCGGCGTGCCCTGAGCTGTGATTGGCTGCGTTACCCACGGGGAGGGAATCTGCAAATAAGAAACAGGGATTTCTCCTCCTGCCACTGTTGCTATGTTGTAGTTGCTAAGAGCACTGAGTAAGGATGGATGTATGGATTCTTTGTAGTTCTTTTATGATTTATGATTTATGTACGAATGCTCTTGAGTAAATCTCAGTTTTGAAGAATTCAAATGAAGAAAAAAAAATAAAAATCTTTCAGATGGTAGAGCTGAGGTCTGAAGAGGAACGTAACGTAGGAGGTAAATGTCAACACCGCATGTCAAAGCCCACCATAAATCATCAGATACTCCACAATAATTTATTACTGACCTTTTTCAAAATTTAAAATACATCCCTCGACATAAACTACACTGTCCATCATGCATTTATGAAGCAGCCTTATGCTTATTTAGTTTGATTTTATGCCTGCAGCCATATGTTTTTTATTGATTAATATTAAGTATGTTAGATTTAAAATATTCAAGCTTAACAGGGCTACTCCGACACAAAAACAATAATTGTTTTATGCATGAGAACAAGAATGTCAATTTGTGATTCACCATATGACATAAGTGATTTACGGTTTTCATGTATTTTGGTTGGTTTGTTTTGTAAACTAAGCAGTTCTTGCAGCCATCAGTAGATTTTGTTTTCTATCACAGCTGCATTCGTTTTGGCAGCGTCTTCACTGTGGCATGAATATCTGTATTTAAATATGATGTTTACATATTTAAAAGTAATGCTGCCTGATGGCCTAATGCCATGAGTAGGTTTGAGGGACCTGCTGTCCGCTTTAGTCTCTAATCCCCTCAGATTAAATCATACGATCTGTATCAGACTTGGCTTGGCGGGCCTAGATTAAACAAATGGAAGGTTGCAGAGAGTACTGCAAACACGCTACTGTAAAAGCGATGCATTCTATGCACAGCCTCCTAAATTAGCAGGGTTAAACTCATTAACCCAAAATAAGGATGAATTACACTATAACTGATTAGGGAACTAAAGACTGTGTATTTGTGTTTGCTCCAGGGTTTTCTGCAGTCAATGCATTTACACACTGAAACTGTCAGCATCGTTCATAGACACACTGCAAGGTTACTCCTGCTTTTCAGTTTGTTATTCTGAGATTTTACAGCTCATTTCTGGTGTTGCTTTCTCAGTAACTCTCTTAACTCTCTCTGGCACTCTTATGAAATCAAGTTATGTACAGTACTTAAAGGGTAAGATTGATCGATGGTGATGCAGTTACAAGCCATCTACACCCTCAAGCAATCAAAGAGATGCATTTCTCACATTTCCTTCTCTTGGGGAAATGTGAGGATAATGGTTTGTGCCCTTTGTTTCTCTATATCCCACAATGTTAAGACGACTGTGTGAAATGACTCACTCTCTCCAGGCTCTTTAGACTTCCTGCCACTGGTGTTTTTCTTCATCATATTCCTGCCTGCGGTGAACAGGTTGGTTAGTTCATCAAGTGGGCTGGTGGGTGTTCGCGAACGGCCCGTCGACACGTTCTGCATAGAGCCATGGAGTCGTCCTACGCCGTCTTGAGGTGGCGAGCCTTTGCCGTGAGGCGTGGCGGATGCGCTCCGCGGCAGACCACCAGGGAATGGCATTGGAGCATCGAAGGGAGGTGTACGCATGAGGCTCAGAGGAGTGAGGCAGCGGCCCATGCTGACCGGCGACGGGCAAGCCGAGTGGCTTCGCTGATAGGAGGATGATGATGAAGATTTGTAGAGGGTGCAGGGTAGAGGAGGTGCAGAGGAGCGTCCAGAGACAGTGAGCGTTGGGGTGGCAGTGAGCTCCCTACGGATATGTGCAGAGGAGGGCGGCTCGGTGGAAGAGGTGGGGGATTTGCTGTAGGACTGGTTCTCCAGCATGGGCAGTTTGGCTACATCTAAAGGGGTGAGGGGAGACTCGTCTGAGTTGGGCGAACACTGGGCTGGTGCTGGTGGGAACACCAACAGTGGAGGTCGATGGGTGAGTAGATTGGGGAACGGGGCAGGAATGTCGCAGAGGGGAATGTTTCGAGGTGTGGAGCAGCGACTGAGGGGCTCGGGGTCGTAGGGTGCCGGGGTGGGGCATGCAGAACGACATCCCACAGGGTCAGTGCGGTACTCCATATCGTCCAGAGCAGGGTACTTCATCTCCTCGTAAACGGACTCTCCCGGCTCCTCATCCTCACTCTTCAAGGGCTCTCTTGTTCCAACATCAATCCCGCCCATTTCTATATAGACAGGCTCATCTTCACAGTCGTCTGTAGGGCTCTCATCACTCTGTGGAGGCGAGGGGTTGCGTTCGCAAGGGGAAGTGACGTGGTGGAGAGGTTTGGAAGGGCACACCCCGCTGCCTCCATGGCTCTTAATGTAGGACTCATCAAAGGAAACACTCAGTTGTGTGTTGGGGTTCCTCTTGGGTTTGGGTGGCGGCACCCTCCTGCAGTCCTCGCTGCATCCTTGAGCTGCTAAAAAACACAGAGAAACAGAGTCTGTGCATTAACTGACTGGACAAATTCATATTCACATACACTGCCTCCTCCTAGCACGACCTATCATAATTCATTTTCTAGTTCATTCATATGCTGATGCTTACGCCTAATGATATGTCATTCTGACATCTAATTTTGTTGTGGTATGAGATATGATATGACACAAAGCCTATTTCGGCTCTGTGAGTCAGTTGTAGGTCAACGTGTATTGCTGAGAGCAATATCTTGAGTCATATATGTGGGAATAGTTGATGCTTATGCATGTTTCTAGGTCACATATATGGCAGTGGAGTAATATGTGAGTATAGTATCTGGGTCACACACACTGTGGAGCTTCTTTTTCATCGTGATGACGTAGCATTGCAGTGTGAATCTCTTTAGATGTGGTGCAGTGAGGCTTTGATACAGTGTTCTCATTGCCTACATTCACTGTACATTACAGTATGGTCCCAATGCTGGTGTACTGACAGCAGCCAGCGCTCTATACTACTGATTGGCTTACAGTCGATTTCTAGGTCAAACCCTGAGATGTTCGGATAGGAGTGTCCTTTTCTCTGACAGGCAGTGGGAGATAAGTGTAGTTAAGAGCTGGACCATGTCTGAAATTTTCAAACTGCAGATTTTACACCTTTAATAATTCAGATGCCAGATGGCCTGGACACATGCATGCTTCCCGTAACTGAATGACTCACCACCATCACTACACGCGTGCACGCGCACATACGCGCGCCGCACATGCCTACACATTCGGATGAGGGAAATTAGGACACACTTTGCAGGGCACAATCTCTCAACCTATGAAGTCAGTATTTCCAGAAATTAAAGTCTAACTTGGTAGATGTTTGCCCCCCTCTCCTGTCTGAATGTACAGCTATGCAGAATGTGTTGCAGAGTATTTGACACATTGTTATTGAGATTTTTTTTTTCTTCTTAAGCTTAGAAAATTGTAAGAGAATGATCGCATGGGTGAAACAAAAGTCAAGACAAAAAAAAATCTGATCAGAACATTTAATACTATTTTGCACTGGTATTCAGAATTAGTCATGCTGATGTCAAATATGCTAATCTGAACTGAAGGTACACAGGTCTTTTGATGTGACGTCTTCTCCTCATTACTACTTCTTAATCAGGTGCTAAGAGAAGATTTGTTTCGGCCCAAATGTGCTCGTGTTTAATTTGATTTGTATGACAATTACATACTTGTGTACTCTTTCTTTTTTCTGTGAGAACATGCATACATGTGAAAATATACGTACAATAATGTGCACATAATAATGTACTTGTGCGTCTTTTCCACAACTGCAAAAATACATTACTACAGGGGAAGGTTTGAATGGCGGATGCTGAAATCTGCTTTCAGCACTGATGATGAATCCATGGATTCAAACATCACTGACTCCCTGTCCATGATGCACTGGGCTTCTCTCCTCTCCTCTCCTCTCCTCTCCTCTCTCTATTGCTCCCTCTTTCCCCCCCTCCCCTGTAGCGGATGTGTTTACCCGCAGCACCCTCCCCCTCCCTCTCCTCCTGGGGAAACGAATCTAGGTCAATCGCTCCTCCTGAATGAATTCTACTCTGACAAGCTCCTCCCCTTCCCACTAAAGCGCCAGCTACAGAGCACGCAACCCTCCCCTCAGCCAGGGACACCCCCACACTCTGACTCTGATTGGCTCCGAAACCTCAGACTGCAGCATCTCTGGAGCCCCATTGGCTCGGGCTGCTCAGTGATGCTGTGATTGGCTGGGCTGCAGGGGGTCTTGTTTCTGTGGGATGGTTGCCGTGGTGCCCAGGAAGATCTGTGTGCACATAGAGAGATCCCCACCAATCTGAGCCAGGCTGGGCGACTCCCTAAACATCACGCTGGCATCCAAACTGAAATGGAGTCAAAGCTTCCTGCAACCTCTAAATCTTCTTTGCTCTCATAGCTACCTGAGTCCAAGATTATATTTGTACTATTAATATCATTTTAAGTTTGCAGAACACATGTACTGTGATTGTTTTTTTTTACCTAAGAAAATAATGGAATTTTTTTAAATTTGTTGTAAGAGCAACTGTGTTTATGTGAGATGAGGCAATAAAGCTCAATAAAGTATCTTATTCATTAAAGCTATTCTTGCACGAAACAAGGCATATCTAAAAATCTGTTTTGCACATGCAGTGTAATAACTGTACAGACACTTCTTCCTTCTTTATGCGCAGTAAGGACAGCTGTGATAACTGTGACTGATAATATGTCTATAGACAGCACAGTATTGTGATCCATCTGCTGAGCTGCACTCTACTGTACAGAGTAAAAGATGGTGTGCATAAATACATAAACACCTGATGATTATATGCACAAGCATGCTGTTATACATACACACATGCTGTTATTCTATTTTACATTATTGTATATATATATATATTTAACATGAACCAGAGCTCTTCTTTCTTTAGACTACTGCATTTTTTACATATAAAAATTTGCCAAGGCCATAAAATGTAGCTATTATGAACTACTGAATGATAAAGGAGGGTATTTTATCAAAAGGGATATTTAAAAAGGCACAAATAATGTACCAGTCATTCATATGCATGTGAATACTTTGACCTCTAGTTCACCACATCGATGTACAACTCTGGATCACATACTACCTGATTTAATCCA